AACCGGACACATTAACATTGAAACCATGAATTTTCGTTTTATGTTAATACCTTTGTATATAGACTGTAGGTTAGTCTATATACAAAGTTAATACCAATGAAATGTATTATTCCATAATTATGTGGAATTCTTGCAATCTTTCGAACATATTTTCGATTTACATGAATAGCATTTTACAAGTGACGAAGAATTTCAGGAACGTGGTTTCAACAATGAACGAGAACGAGAATGTTTCCTACTTATTCACCAAACTCAATCAATTGTTAATCCTCACTTGTTTACTTTGTAGTAAATGTTCAAGAGATAGCAAAAATGTATGTGACTTTCTGGAACTTCAACCAGCGTTTCCTAATATGACTGATAACTTTTATCGGGTGACGATCAACTTTATTGCCAAACATGCGCCAAACTAACTCATTATTATAAGAAAACAAGTATATCTGAGGCACCAGTCAATCTAATAATGACACTGATGATCTTCAAACATGACTCAACCTCTGACGGATGCACCAAACTCTTATGAAAGTTCGAAATAAATCAACACTTCAATCTAGCAGACCATTATTATGATCTTCATGCAGTTATTGTTCAATTTGGTTCTGGCAGCATTGGTCAAAGGCAAAACGGACTGGTTTAAGTTTGACGATAGTCGTGTCACGAAGTGTTCTGGCGATGTTTTGAATTTATTGGAGCCTCTGGAGACACCCTACATTTTGTTATATGAAGGAGGGGATATTGGCAGATCCATATTTTCAGATGATGTGGTGCTGCAGGTTTCTCCGGGTTTTTCTGCAGCTGAAAAAGCAAATGCACCACTGGAATCAATGAAGTCGACCCCCAGCGCTAATTAATTTTTGTTGTTTCAAATGTGAAATTAATTTTCACACTCAAGAAACTCCTGTTCTTTTATTTTTTGGGAGAAAGTTTTTTCCAGTTTGGACAATATAAAGTTTTTGACAAGAACCACAAGTCAACTTATATACTCCTGATCTATCCGGTTGTCTTTGTTTTTAATAAATTTGCTTGAATTATAATTTGTTCTGTAACCTACATCCAAATCTTTCTTTTTCAAAAAACAAGCGATGTAATTCGTGGGTTTACTAAAATATGTCAATATCCTATAACTCTTATTATTGTTTCCTGTAGTGGGAAAGACTGGGTAAATGACTTGTTTTCATAGTTTTTTGGGAAGAATGGAGTTACACTAATTTCAAACTGTGACTTAGTATAAATAGTACATATTAATTAGTGAATAACATCAAAAACATAACCTTTCCCTATAATGCCAAATTTATATGGTGTCATGTCCAAAACTTACTTTCCAGTATTTAGCCATTTGAAATAATTGATCTGAACTCTGGTTAAATTATCAGTCATTAATTGTTATATTAAAGCACTAATTAGGTACCTTTTTGTTAGTGTGACTACACCTGAGAAAGCTTATGTGCTGCATTATATTATAAAAAACAATTTTCTATTGTTATCAAAACATTAATTTTATCATTATTTTATCTCAAAGGAGAATTAGTAACATATTAGCAAAGAGAAGAAATCTGAATGACCCACCACTATTTTATCTCATGAGTAATTCACCATGATAAGACTTAGTTTAATCAAGATAAAAACCAGTTGTACTGATACTTACTCTATGATGTTCAAGGTGATATTTTCTGAAACTGATTGAAATGGGTATTCCAATAGGTAAATTAGCAAAGAATCCAAAAAGCTTGTTGTGCATAGGCTTGGCATGTCCAAAAGCCAAATTGTGGGATATTTCATGTATGGCTGGAATCAGATTAAAAATAATAAATCACATCTGAGACACATAATGAAAAAAAAAATTAAAAAAAACAGCTGAACTAACATGAACTTTATCAGATTTAGATACTTATATATAAATTTGATAGAGTTTATGCTGGAGATATAATAAATATTTGATGAAATTTATGAATTTCCACCACAGAAAACTTCCAATCTGTCAATCCAAGAGCATTTAATATTGATTGCTGAGACAGGTATAATTTGTGAATGTGGACAAATTCATACCAATCAGAAGTTATATTTATGTAGATCGTTCAGTAGCGAATAAAATGAGATATTTTTTATTAACATCTGATCTAACTATTGATAGGGATCAACAAAATTAATGAAAAATATCTATTTCACAAATGTTTCCCCATTATTACAAAAAATGAAAATAGTTTTTATTAGAAATTTGAAATGGAAGGTAGACCTAGAACTTCTGAAGGAGAACAAATCCAAAACAAGCACTGTTCCCAATACAAGAACTGAGGTAAATTAGTTTATTTCATCTCTTGAAGGCGCCAACTTGGTTACTGAAATGCGCGTCAAGAAGAGTATTGCAGTTCTGGTGTTTAGGAACAGTGCTTGTTTTGAATAGAAAATTGAAATTGATGAGTTGAAAACAATAAATAAAGAGAAAAAAATAATCTGTTGAAAAAAAAATCTGTTTTTCCATTAACCAGCTGTGGCCCCCCAACAAACGACAACCTTCAAAAGTCGAAACTGGTGGGAGCTAAGGACTAACGAGGTCTTACCTTTTAACGTGTGATTCCTAACATAGTTAACAATGGTTTAATTATTTCAATGTTGATTTTGTGTAGATCACAAGTAACTCACCTAACATTAAAGAATGGTTGATAACTCCACCAAAACAATAAGCGACTAGAAGTATTACTGGCCATGACTCGTTCCTGAGAAGGTAAATCATAATGAACTGGAGAAAAACCATACCTGTAACTACCCATTTGAAATTTGGGTCAGACCCAAATAGTTTCTTGATTTGTGGGTATTTTTCTGGAAAAGTAATTGAAAACTGATTGATAAACATGAGACCTTTGAGTGNAGATGAACTAAACACATGATAATATGATATTCATCATATGGTTAGAAGATCTACCTCTGACTAGAATTGTTGGACTACTTCATTACAGATAACTTTGATCTAAAAATATCATGGCAAGGTCTTATATAAAACATCAATTCACAGATTCAGATTAAACCTACTTTGTTATTGGTTCATAATGCCTGTGGATTGTTTCAAAGTAAACATTTGCAACCTAAGAAATGAACATTTGAAAGTATATTTCATTTTAACTTGCCACTTTTAATATTATGAGTTAAAACTTTTACATTTCTTAGTACGTATTCAAAATCACTTTAATGCGGGATTTCCATCGAACCTTCTATCGAATGAATGACTAATTATTTGACCAGAGTTTAGGCACGAAAATTTCAACATTATAAAAGAATTTTACCAACTACTTGAATGGACATATAATAAAGTAATTGCCAATTTCCACATTTGGAAACAGATTCAATAGTAAATCTTCCGAATTCTCAAATCCATTAATTTCTGAGCCTTTCTCATCCAAATGTAATACATCATTATTGTGAAAATAGCGACGGGC